AAGCCAAATTGAGTTAATTAGAAGATACTGAGAACAGTTGACTAGATTGTAGTATCAAATTAAAAATTATTTAATTGCATATTCTTTTAATGGAAAAATCAAAAATTTTGGATGCTCAAATTATAACTCCGAGTTCATATCAAGTTTTGAGTTTGCATCCATAACTTGTCTTAGTTTTTTTTCAGTCTTTCCCGATTGAATTTGCTCTAGTTTGAATAACTGCTTTCCATAAAAGTCGCAAATAAGTTTTTACCTGCTTTATTCGATGGTTACTCTGTTCTGTCGTATATATTGGCACACAAATAACAGTTTTCCCCCAGTTTCTAGGTCCGCTTTGATGAAAATTTTCAAAATTTCTGTTAGCACAAAAAAGTTAATAGGAAATACTAAACGTTTTCTAGAAGCCCCGAAAATAGTTTCCTTTTTACTATAAAAAGTGGTATATGCAAGTCTTAGAAATGGCTGCAGCAAAATTAATCGGCCATTTTGGTTTTCATCAGTGTTCTCGTTTTTCAAGATCTTTACCCACTTCAAATTATTAGCTCTTTCAACCTTTCTATTAAATCAAAGCTTTTGTCATAGATTTTAGACGTTTTTTCAGTCTCCTGTAGACACGGAAAATGGAAATGTCGAAATTTTCAAGCCAATTTCATTATTTTAGAGTTTTCAGTGTTTCGTAATTTTTCTTTGTTTTTACCTTCATTTGGCTGAACGAAATTTTTCATTCTTATTTCGGTCAAATTGATTATTAATGTTTGCCTAATTAGAGGTGGCGGCCGCCGCACTTGACAAATTTTGCTTTCTTCGAGATTCAGCAATAAAACATGCATTTTTGAAGGAAATCGTTCACCGCAGCCAACAGTTAAGCTACGCTGCCAAAATCTTGTGCTTTCCTATATACCATATAGTTTGGTCGAATATAATAGGTATATAACGTCATTTTACATGTAAACAAACCAATACCCCCAAACTTTAGAAGGGAAAACATGCACCGACCAAAACTTAATCCATTCCCGTTTCCACAACGTTCAGTGGGAATACTCAATAATATACCGAAGTTTTACATGAGGACTATTAGGTATAAAATTATACATGGTGACAATTAGGATTATTACATAGTGACCAATAGCAATAAAATTATACATGGTGACAATTAGGATTATTACATGGTGACCATTGCTGATCATTTAATACATGGTGACCATTATGATTTATACCTAATGGTCATCCATGTATGACAACCCCCCCCCCCGATCCTAACGCACTATATGCATACTACTCTCCTAACTTTTCTGAAATGCTGCGAAACTTTGTCGATTACGATCCGTATCTTCTGGTACGACCCGGAAATAACAATAGAGGACGACCTTCATCGTCGGCTGCGCTATACCCGAGCCGAATGACTTGGCTTTCTCCGCATACTGACAATTTGATCCAGGCGCTCCTTCGAGACGAAGAAAACTTGGACGACGACCTCCGAAGCTTAAACTCTCTTTTCGAATCAGGCGCAAACAATGAACAAATTAGGAATTTCCGAGACGCAGTCGGAGTCGGGAAAGACGACTGGGCGTCGGTTGTCGACACTCGGGGTTTCAATGTTTCAAACCAGACGAGGTGAATGTGAAATTGGAGGGAAATACTTTGACGATGTCGGGAAACACGGAATGGTAGATGATTTATTTATAAGTCCATAAATTCAAATTTTTGTTTCTATTTCATTTTAAATTCTCAATACGATGAATTCTCATAGGACCCAATATTCATAGCACCCTAAATGAAAGAAAACTACTCGTATCAGGGCGAAGCTCTGAATGCTCCGACTGCATTCTAAAGTCTATGAAGCAGTGATAAAATGAAAAAATTAAATGTAAAAGAAAAACGAAAAAGAATTTTTTTATAATTTGAGATTTTTTGTGAAAATCATCTCCCCACAGGGCATGTAAAGTACAATATGACAGACTTCGCTCCTACTAACAACACAATTATGGCGAATAAGCTTCTTTTAACCAATTTGGAACGATTTCTAAGACGGATTAACTCTCCGCTTACGCGTTAATAGCGCGAAATATATCGCGCGTTAATTGTCCCGAATTGGCCAAAATGTTCTTTTATTAAGCATTGTATTAACCCGCAATTCTAAACACATTTGAGCTCCACCTACATCCTTCTAAAATCAAGGTTTACATAAAAAATCTATTTTTTCCGCTGGTCGTGGAGAATTGGCAAAAGAACCCAATCTCGGAAATCAAAATTTCATTATTTATATCTTTTTTGGTTCAAGAGTGATAGAATGGTCCGAAGAAACTCAACGGGTCCCTTATGTAAAAGAATGCCTCATAATTACTTGTTTTCGTGCTTTGATGATGTCAATTAAAGTATCGATTAAGTTTGCGCGAATAGAGCAGGTTGACTATATGTTCGCGAAAACTTTTAAAACAGCTGGGGGGCACATTTTGAGTTAGTAAATTGAGCTATTTGCCTTTGTAGGATCGGTGATCCTAGCATAATTTTTTTGGCCGTACTCAGATTTTGACTGAGAGAGTTACCTTGAGAAATGCATGCAGTTTAGTGAAGGTTAAGGAGTAGTACGTAGCTCGGTATTGACGAATCAATACGATAAGCAGAAAAGTAAGCAAACGGTCAAGTCCTAAATAAGTTTGAATCTCCAAAAATATATTCCTTCCAATGGCTGAAAACCCAAATGAAGTAGGATGTGATAACTGCCCCAAATGGAAACTACTGGAGCGAACTTTATGAAGCTCAAAGGACGGATACTAGAGATGATTTGACCCGGACATGCAAAAAAAATAGACCCCTCGGAACCCCCTGTCCCAAGTGATTACGGATTCCGGAAATGCAAATAGCCCTATTGGAACTCGGTAAATAGCGGTTGGAATAGAGCAAAGTTAAGTAAGTTTTAGATCTAGATGAGGAAAGCTTAAATTTAGAACCGCAGACTCATTGGACTCCTACTTCTCCCAGCCCCCCCTGATCGCAGGGAGCCATAACTTTAAGATATGATAGGTACTGTCAACGTACATCATGTATTATAATACGAGACAAAGAAAGCCGGGATGACCTTTAAATGACTTTCGGGCACTTGGGACCAAATTTGTATAGAAAATCCCGGGATTAACACCGGAAAGTGGCGTATTTTCCCCGGCCCCAATCTCTTGGGAGCAAGAAGCGTTCATCTTACCTATAATTGGGAGGGAACTTATCTGTTGGGGAAAAAAGCAGAAGCTGAAAGGTATATAGCCTTTACATTATGACATCGAAGTGGTGGAATTAGTTAAAGTGGACTTGGCAAACATTGGGCTTAACTTAGTTTGGCTAATGAGCGAATAATAGAAACTCAAACAGACTAAAGAAAAGTGGTCCCAGATAAAATTAGCAGTAAGGAAAGCTTAACATTAGGAAAAGGTCCCCCTAAATAATATTAATGGACGGGATAATTACTTAGCTCCCCGGAGATGATTTTTTGGCACGTTTTGACCCCTAATAAGCGAATTACGTTACCCTAATAGCTATAAAGTCGGGATTGGAAGAGAGTATAGACTGGTATTTTTAAATGCTTGGAATGAAGTAGCGACCCATAGAAAGAGTGTTCCTTTACCCCCGGGAGGTCGGAATATTATTGGGATAAAAGAATAAAAACATTGGGAGAATGTTAGTCAAACCTGAGGTGAAATTGGACCTGATATTTGCACAACTTAGTCAGGGATACCTACAAGGAACTTAGAATTTAAAACTAACGTCGTGAGAAGAAGAATTCAATTTAGACCTAAAAAAAGAGGCACTAAAAAGTCAAAAGTTTTAGGGACAACATAACTCTAAGTATAATTAAAACTCAATTAAACAAATATTATAAAGATTAACAAATAGCCCACCCTTAAGTAAAACAATGATTGCGAAGTTAGTGGAGAGTTGGCTTTCAGTTAGTTAGCGAACATTTTTAACTATTAGTGAGATTATTTGGGTTCGCGTTGTCATTAATACGTGGCGTGATTTCCGTTTTTGCTAGTTCTATATGTTTTAATTTAGTTTAATTTTCCAGACATTGTTTGAAAGAGAATCTGTATATACTCTGTATATACGCTGTATGTTTGGACATCTATAAAATTGTTTGTAAAGTTAAAATACCAGCTCGTTCTTAATTCTTAAAACTGATGTTTTTTTAGTATCCGTAACTTCATATATTTTAATCAACCAATTTCTGAACTGTAACCGAACTTAATTTGTTTTGTTTTGTTTTGTTTATTGCTTGTTTTCTGATGTTGTGTTTTTGTTTGATGTAACCAATGAATTTTAACCAACTTTATTATTTACACTTTGCTATACTGATGCCTTGGCTTTTTACTGTATAGTAATTCAGGTCTTCTTTCTTCTTTTCTTCTTCTTCTTTAGAAAAAAAAAGTTTCGGATTGGCCAGCCGAAAATGGATGTCAGAAAATACAATCAAAGAGGGGACTCTTTGGTTGGTGAGAAATTCGAATTAAGGAAAGACAAGATGCGGGTTTTCAATAATTCTTACAATAAAATTCAAGAAAAAAGACGTGCGCAAATAAATGCTCTCGTTGTTACATTTGAATGAATAAACATGAAAAATCAAGTAGCTTAATTGAAAATTCAAGTAGCTCGTATGGTCCTTTTTCACGAGATTATGTCAACTAAAACCACGCAATTTTTCAAGCCAAAACGCGTTAACATTTTAAAAAGTGTATATTCAATTGCCGGTAAACTGAAACATCAATGACTTAATTTTTCACTCTCTTCAGCTTTCCAGTTGGTTGATTCATGATTTAAAATTATTAATCATTTTGATTACCTTCGATTTTGTTTACTCTAAATTCTCTTACACGACTGCTTACACTTGTTGTATTCTATTGCTTGCGGGTCAATATATCTTTTCGAGTGGACTTTTTGTTGTCATCATCAACAGAAAAAACCACCAGCAGCGCATTCAAAAGATTATCAAAAGTTAGTCATACAATAAAATTATGCAACATGGTTCCGAATTGTCCAAAACGAAGTCAAAACACGACGACGACTATACGAGATACGACTTCATTCGGTTCACTTGGAGCGACACTATGGGAATTCCGAGGTGCAAAGTCGTTCCGAGTCACGCCTACCCGGGAGTCGTCAAGTCTGGTCTAGGAATGGGCGGCAATCTCAGTGTTTCCGGCGCCGACTCTCTTCCTTGCCATTATTCGAAGTTTGCCGACCGTGGCTGTCCCGACTCGTTCGCAGTTCCTCAGCTTGAAACTTGGCACTCGTGTCCTTGGTCTGGAAACGACACGGACTCGAAAGTTGCCGAAGTTTTGTGCGAACTACACGAGAAGGACGTTAACTTGACGCCGTGCGGATACGATAGTCGTGTCGTGTGTAGAAGGATGTTGAGTTCGCTCAAAGAGGAATTCGGCTTAGATGTTTATTCGGCTTTGGAGTACGAATTCGCAGTCTCAGAAAATGGAAAGGCACCGGATGGTTCTCATAATTGTTCAACAGTGATTTTGAAAAAGATGGAAAAAATATGCTTCGAGGAACGGTTTTGAGTTTCATTTAAGATTCAAAGACTCTTTTTTTTAAAAGAAAAAGACAGCATTACTTTTAAAAAGAGTTGAAGTGAATTTCTATCATACTTGAGAACTTGTCAACATAAACATCAAGACAACCTAGGGTGCATCTTTGATTTTTGATCCAGGATTTTCAAATTTTGCTAAGAGGATCATCAAAAAAATTTGAACAGCAGAATTTTTCAAATTGATATCCGAGCTCTTTTCCGCTACCAATAAAGATCAATAAATCAGCAAACTCGAAATTACTATATTGCAGGTTTCGAAGCGACTCAAAACAGCCCAGGTGTTGGTTGAAACAATAGTAGCAGAGTTCGGAAACGGACAGTTCGAAATCACCCTCGAGCCCCAGTGGGGACTGAAGGCGGTAGACAATGGCGCCATCCTCCGCGACTGCGTCAAATCCACCGCAATCGACAAAGGTGGACATCACAAATAAGTATATCAAAGTCAAAGACCACAGCGATTGTATTTTCTGTGATACCGCCAAAAATCAGCAAAAAATTAGGATATCAAAAATTTCAACAATTTGATCAAATGCTCAGAATAACAAAAACAGGAACGTCTTTCACTCAACGAGCCTCCCAAAAGTCCTTTTTTTTAGTAGTTCCCCTCAAAAGTTCCTGGTATTATGTGGCGGAGAACTGAAAAAAGTGGGGGAGGGGGCTGGAAAAGAGTCTAACTTTCAAAATGCTTCCAAGGTATGCAGGCGACGTTTATGAGTAACCCGTGGGGAACTGTACAAAATGGAGGCCATTATAACTTCTCTCTGTGGAAAAGCGGACAAAATGCGCTGAGTGACAAATCAGCCGAAAACGGTCTGTCCGAACTCGGCAAGTTCTGGATCGCCGGCATCATGGAACACGCAGGCGCTTTGACAGCAATCGGATGCCAGACTAACAACTGCTACCGTCGGTTTTACGTAGGAGGCTTTGCCCCAATTTACGTGTGTTATGCGCGGGAGCACCGGATGTGTATGTTGCGGATTAAGGAGTCGCAGAGTTCGGGAACCTTTTTTGAGTTCCGATTGAGTGGCGCTCCTGCCAATCCGTACTTGCTGGTTGCGGCTATTCTGGCTGCTGGCATGGATGGTCTGCGAAAACGGATTCAAGTCAGTAATGTCTTTTTTTCTCCGATGAGATCATTTTTTTGTACATCTCTAGATCATATAATTGGCGTTTCACTTAGCACATGTTTAAGAAGTCCTTTATGTTGGCATGTTTTAAATAATAGTGACGACACGGAAAACGTTTACCGAGCGTACACGAATCAATGAACTAGACTTTGCTCGCTTTTTTCACACAATTTGAGCGTTCGCGTTTGCTCCAAATTGTGTGCTTGATTTTTTCTCTCTTTGTTCTTATAAGTGCTGTCTTTTATCTATCATTTCATCTATCTTTTTTATCTATTTTTTATCTATCTTTTATCTATCTTTTTTATCTATATTCTTATCTATCTTTTTATCTATCTTTCTGATCTATCTTTTTATTTATCTTTTTTATCTATTTTTATCTATGTTTTCAGTCCAGTCTTAGCTGTCCAATTTTCTTCATATCGGAATCCAATTTTTTAAAAGATTTTCCTATCAGTGTTATTAGACAAAATTAAAATTAAATATGATGACGCGATATGAAAAAAAACTTTGTAATTGCAAATATGCGCTCTAAAAGTTGCTGCTCATATCCTCTCGGTTTTCGAGATTTGGCGCGAGATTTTCGAGATTTTATTTTTTTCAATTTTTTTTTCAAAGTTTAGATACAAAAAACTAACATAATTTGAAATTCTCAACCCTATAGTGGGGTGTTCTCAGGATGCACATATTGGTTGCATATTTGCCATAAAAAAGTAGGACTGATCAAAACGTTTAATCATTGAAAACATGGCGTTTTTTGAGCTTTTTTGATGTAATAAAAACAATTTTAAGGTTTGAAAAGCTGTCAATTTTTTTTGTTTAATTTCCGAGATATGAGAAATTTAAAAACTAAAGACTTTTTCAAAAAAAAATTGATTTATTTTAGAATCTAATTGATGTTAGAATATGAATTGTTTGAAGCGTAGTATGAATTGCTAAATTTTATGAAAACAAAATACAAAAAAAGCTGCGGAATGCTGTCGAAATTTTAGTATTTTTAGTGTATGAAAGTTGACATATCTGATGAAACTCAGTAGTTTCAAAAATACGACCATTTTGATTAAAAATAACTTTAAAATCCTTCAATAAATGTAATAGAAAACTCTGATGAATGGGCCCTGCTTATTTCAACGGTTGCCTTAAATATCGTTGATTATTGTATATATTTTACGAAGATTTTTTTACGCTCAACGATCTATTCGAAGCACCGCATTACCGAATCACCGAATTATCGCTAGTTAATGCCTAAAGTTTTTCAAATCAAAATGCAAAAACCAGCCTGCCCGTTAAGGTGTCTAAATTAATTTCTTGTCACAAAAACTCCTCGAAAAATCAAAAAGTGTAAAATACAAGGCAATATATTTTGCATCTACTAAAACGTTCATCGGACCAACTAGCGTACCTCAACTCAATTGGAATAAATTTTTGAGCCGGGTTATTCAGACGCCTGGATGAAATACTCTCCTGAAGTTCAGCTCATATTTCTTGATAAGCAAACTTCAAGTTATACATGATTGAATGATTGAGCTACGAAAGGACGGTAAAAATAGTATTTTTTAGTACCAGTGGTCTCTACAGAATTTTTTCTAGGAGGCGGGGGATGGTTAAATTTTGAAAATTTTGTCGTTTTTGTAGGTCCAACAATTTGATTTTCCCAGCTCTCCAAATACACTATAAGGACCCTATTTTGTCAAAATTATTCCGCGCTGCAGTCAATTTTTTGAAAAAAAAAACAGGCTAAAAATGACGTTTTGAGCTTTTATTAAAAAATTGACTAAAAATTTAGGTTTTTCGGAGCCTTTAGAAATTTTTTGAGCTGGTCAGCCGTAAATTTATGTCGTAAAATAAGACCAAAGGGGAACCCTTCGGAAAATTTGAGTCGAAGTTCTAAATTTTGAACGTTGTTGTCTTTTTTCTCTCATCAAAGCTAGAAAGGTACATACTTCAGCGCTTTTTTTGTCGAAACTAATTGAACTTTTTTTGGAAGTTTCGGAAAAAAATTTATCTACGCATGGATAGGTTTGTATATAAAAAATTCGAATAATGGAAAAATTTTGTTTTAGAGGTTGCAACAAAAGTATTCGGAAAACTTAAACGAAACTCCAAGGCCATGGCTGAACTCAATTGGAATAAATTTTTGAGCCGGGTTATTCAGACGCCTGGATGAAATATTCTCCTGAAGTTCAGTTCATATTTCTTGATAAGCAATCTTCAAGTTATACATGATTGAATGATTGAGCTACGAAAGGACGGTAAAAATAGTATTTTTTAGTACCAGTGGTCTCTACAGAATTTTTTCAAGGAGGCGGGGATGGTTAAATTTTGAAAATTTTGTCGTTTTTGTAGGTCCAACAATTTGATTTTCCCAGCTCTCCAAATACACTATACGGACCCTATTTTGTCAAAATTATTCGGCGCTGCAGGCAATTTTTTGAAGAAAAAAAACAGGCTTAAAATGACGTTTTGAGCTTTTATTAAAAATTTGACTAAAAATTTAGGTTTTTCGGAGCCTTTAGAAACTTTTTGAGCTGGTCAGCCGTAAATTTATGTCGTAAAATAAGACCAAATCTACCCCCCCCCCCCCCCCCTCTGCACGCTACTGACTAGTAGACTAGTACAGCATAAATTTCAGAGACCTCATTTATTAACCTCAGAACACTTTCTAAAAGCAACAAAATCTTTTCGAAATCCTTCCTATTTTAGCCCCCACCAATTGGATTCAGCGAGGAGAGGCAAATACCCAGGACCCTAGAAGATGCTCTAGAAGCACTTGACAAAGACTGCGTTATCAAAAAGGCACTAGGTGATGATATAATAGAACCTTTCTTCATCCTCAAGCGACAAAAGGATCTCAAGGTCACTGACCCTCAAGAACAGTTCAAGTTCTATTCGGACTTAATGTAAAAATGATCTCGTCAGTTAATTAATTCAACTAATCTTAATCAGCTTTTCAGAATCAAAAACTTTAACTGATTGTGTCAGCCATGGCCTTGGAGTTTGGTTTAAATGTTCCGAATACTTTTGTTGTAACCTCTAAAAGAAAACTTTTCCATTATTCGAATTTTTTATATACAAACCTATCCATGCGTAGATAGATTTTTTCCGAAATTTCCAAGAAAAAGTTCAATTTCGACAAAAAAAGCTGAAGTATGTACCTTTCTAGCTTTGATGAGAGAAAAAAAGACAACAACGTTCAAAATTTAGAAACGAAAAAAACTGAACATGTATTGAAGGCTATCAAATAGATTTGAGTAAGCTTTTATCAGTTCGACAAATATTGATTGAACCTTCTCAAACTTTGGCCGCTTTAGTGGCACCTTTTCCTGAAGTAATTTGGACAAATTCATTAAAGACATGGTTTGTTCTTTTTTAAGAGCTGGATAAATTTGTATAAGGAAATATCAGTTCTATCTGAAAACGCTGTACCAGCCTTCGACTTAGTTTGTGTTCTCTGTTTTGCATTTGCCGAATTCTCAAATGTGTTACAAAAAGAAAATGGGAATTGTCCTCCCGTCCTGCATCATTTTCGTATGGTTTCCAATCAGGAGGACTCACAATTATTTACTTTATTTGAAGGATTTGCCACTTTTTTACATGTTTTGCAACCTCAAACACTTATGCCGATTTTGAAACCCAGCCATGTACAAGTGCCAGCCCAACAAAAAGTTTCAAAACCACGCGTTTTTCATTTTTTCTTAATTTTTTTGCTTTTTCATTTTTTTCGTTATGAATTTTTTATCTATAGTCGCCCATACACCGCCACAATATTCATCTTGTTATGTATATATACATTTCCCCATAAGTATCATTTTATGGTGTAACGAGTAGTTTTACAAGGTTGATTATGAAGACCAAATATGTTTGCCATGGTTCATTCAGTCCGCGTACCAATTTTGGTAGCAATAGAACAATGTGGACTT